CTCGCTTCAGAAATAGCAGGGTAGTCTGGATCAAGTAAAATCAGAGATTGGTAAGCTAAACAAAGAGGCTGCAGAGATAGTATTAGCAGAAACCATCCATGAATCATCACCAGAACTTCCAAATAATAAATGCATAATATGTTTCTTTGGCAAACATAAAAATCACAGTTACTTGAACCCAAAGGAAGCCATTTTCTTATGTGAGGATTGTAAGTACAAAATAGCATGTTTTTATACACTCAATGTTCAGAAATGGCATGAGCTTCTCAGCCCAAGAAGCAAAAAGAAAATAAGTCTCTTTGAACATAGGAAAGAACAGTCTCCTTCATCTGCGTCTTCCCACAAAACTGGAAGAAGAAGAAGAAGAAGAGGACGACGAATATCTTGTGAAAAAAGAAACAGAACTGGAAGGAAAAGTTATCAGCAGGTCCTTCGGCAGAGGTATGAGAATGGTGATCCTACAGTAGGACCACTGGGTCAGCCAAGTGGAAAATTTGATTATTTGGTAGAGTATTCCACAGTAGAGTCCAAAAGTAATTCACTTAATGCATTTGATGAAAATCTCTTCAGTCCCACAGGATGGGGTGATACCGAATGACATATGCTTAATTGTTTATTGAAAGTTTTACATACACACCACTCAATTTTTATGTATTTATATCCCTAATATCTAAAATTTAAATTTAACATATATATACCACGTTACCTATGCATGAAAATGAGTATTCTACTTTTAAAAAAGTTAAAATAGTGCTATTTTTTATGTGATGCAAAAGATTTGGCTGGTATAAATGTTAAAATGCAAAGTTTGTGTTAGATAACAGGCATACAAATGAATTGGTTGGTATGTATGCAAATGCCTCTAGCTTATTTAATCTCTATAGGTTCTTCATCCAGTCGAGTTAAATATCATTAACGACAACTTAATTGGTTCTGGTTTTATCTGCTTGTAGTAGTTCCTTGTGAAACATTGGCATTGTAGTCAGTTTGGAATTTAGTTTATTTTCCCTCGTTAAATTGCAGAAAGTTTTCCTCAAAATAACAATCTGCAGATTGACTGTGACTATAGTGGGATAAATGATGTTTTAATCAATTTTCCTTTTTTAGTTTAAAGTACCATTTTGAGAATACGATAAATGATGTTTTAATCAATTTTCCTTTTTTAGTCTAAAGTACCATTTTGAGAATACAGCAGTTTCTAGGCTTTCCTAAGCACAGAAAATAATCAAATAGGTAAAATCATGGAACAGGTTTCTCTAGAACAAAGCCAATATTATTTTGAAACACAATCCAAAAATATTTCAGGGTCTTCAACATAAAAAAAAAAAAAAAAAAAAAAAAGGATGAATAGGAGAGCTATAAAATAGAAAAAAGGACCGTAAACTAATACAGTCAAAGCAGCCTAATATTGAATCAAAAGACAGCATTCAATCAGTAAAGAGTCATGCATCCGTTTTACAAATTCATTATGATTAATTTGGAAGTATTTAATTTACTTGCAAAGTTATATTTCTGTTAAATTTGAAGTAAAATTAGTAAAGCAAATCTCAATCCTAATAAATAGTCAAAACAGCCTAATTACTCTGCATGCAAAAATTATATTACATTGCTTTTTAAGATTCACCAGATCAAGCAGAGCTTGAAATATTTCCCCTCAGATAGAGCCCATCGATCTTACATTGGAGGAATTCAGAACAACAAAAATATACAGCTCTAGCTCATGTAAATTCTCAAGATGAAATAAATTGGATGAAATAGCATTTGCATCTATAATTCCAGCCTGATTAAACAATGCACATTTTTCAAAAGACAAAACAGATAATAGATTTACAACATTTGCTTTCTGATAAATTTATAGACGAAATACCGGTTCTTCATCCAAAATATTCTCTTAATGAAGGCGATGTTTCGAGCGCTGCAACAGGGCTAGTAGGATCTTTTTCCTAGGTCCCTGCAGCAGACATTTGTGCAAAAAATTGTCACATTGTGCAAGCTAAACCCCACTGAATAATTAAGAATTACTTTGAACTTTAACAGCAATAAAAAAACATTTAAGTCCAAACAGCAAAATAATTTAATGAGCAAAATAAGAACTTATGCTGCAGGATTTGTAGGGCACATGATGTCATGGACCCTCTTATAACATCTCCAATAAACCAACAACTTATAGATTTTCTAATAACTAAGAGCATTATAGGCATATTTAACCACTTGAGACCTTTTCAACTCAATATTATGACTAGAGATTCAGGTAGGCGTGAAGCAATGGCTACAATTAATCACAAAAGACGAAAGCCTCCATGAAATGAAGGTTGGACTAATGACTATCAATCACTCTAAAGACCTAAATTAAAGTGAGCTTCATGAATAGAATATTTTAATGGCATAATTATTGTGCCGAGCTTACATTTTTGTTCTCTCCATCCTTATTTGACGTATTCCGTCATTTAAACATTCACCAGCAGGCGCTGATATATGATGCTTAGTAGCCTCTGGAACACTTGATGATAAGGAGAAAACATATGTAAACCATAATTATTTTCTTTTGGACATTAAAAAAAAGAGCCTTTTAATTAGTTTAAGGAAGATTTACATACATACCATTCAATTCGTATGCATTGACATATCTAACATCTAAACCTCAATTTTTACCCATACATACCTTACCTATGCATGAAAAGACATATTCACTTTTTGAAAGTTAAAATAGTGGCATTTTTTACGTTACATCATAGATTTGGGTGGTATAAATGGCAAAAAGTAAAGTTTAGGTATTAGATATGTAAATAAAAAAGTATTGGGTGGTACGCCGATAAATATGGGCGGAGCTACCGTAGGAGCACTGAAATCCTGGCCACTGACCTGGCCAATAAATATAATTGAATAAAATTATATATGTATATTAATCTGGCCATAACTATATTCTTATCCACGCAGTAAAACAAAATCAGACTAGTTATTTAAATAACCTACAAAACACAGATGAAGACCATAAAATTCCTTAAATCTACACCAACATGCCAAGGAAAAATGCTCACAATACTGAGTGGTGCTTTTTCATTTAAGAATAGTTAAAATTCTCGTTTGAATGTGGGACTAAATGCAGGAGTGACAAGAGCTGAGCTGGGCCGTTTTCCTTTATTGAGGCATTTACATACATAACAACCAATTTCTATATATTTACATATCTAACATCTAAACTTTATCTTTTATATTTATAGCACATAAAAAATACCACATTTTTAACTTTTAGAGAGTAAAATACACTTTTTTATGCATAATAAGGTGGCATATATGTAAAAATTAAAGCTTAGGTGTTAGATATGCAAATAAATATGAAATGAGTGGTATTATGTAAATCCTCCTTTAATTTAAACTTAAAAAAGAATTAATTTTTGAAGAATCATAGAATAGCTCGTCTGCGACAGTTGAATTGAAACTTCAATTTTAAATCTAGCTGAAACAGATGATGATGGATTTATAGTTAATTTTTGAACTAGTATAAATTCGAACACTAAGCTTTTTAAGTTTATTAATTATTAATTAAAATTATGATCAATATATATATGCATTTAATAATTGCTTATTAAAGTATGTTACAAATTTATTAAAAAACAAATTTTTTATATTAAATTTATTTTCTAGTATATCAAATTAATTTTGAAGTCTAGATCGAGTATTTAACTTTTTATTTTGAGTTGGTTAAAATTTTGAGTTTGAAACTAAATTATCAGTTGCATTATTATTATTTATGATGGAAAAAAAAATAATATAATCTTTTATTTATTATTTCAATAATTTATAAAATCAAATTTATGTACATTCATATAAATATTTTTTTGGTCAGCACATATTTATCAATTTAATTTTAAAACTTGAAAAAGAAGCAAAACCATTAATATTAGTCTCAACTTTGGAAGAAAAAGATTGAGACTTTCTAAAGTTATAAATTTCGGCCACCACTGAAAAAATTTACCGGCTCCACCCCTATGTATAAATTTCCAGTAGGTTAATAGAAATTAAACTTAAGTGGCTAAATGAAGCTGAGAAAATAGATAAAAGAAAATGATTAGAACGTTCGCTCATATATAGTAATAGTGCATGCAACAAATGAAAGAAAGGTTTCATCAAGGAAAACAAAATAAAATCTGTAAATACAGAGGAAACTATAGTAAGGATGATGTACCATCGGTATCCCCAACTCTTTCAGGTCATTGTCTCCCATTTGCCTAAGTGCTGCCATGTCAACCTTACAACCAAACCCAGAAGGTAAAATATTAAATGGCTCCTCATAAAAACTTGCAAAGAAAGTTTAAAGAAATAAAAAATCATGCAAGAAAAGTGATAGATCTGGAGGAAAAGATGAAATGGATCTGAACTTCTGAATTGGATGGTGAAATCGTAAAAAAAAAAATTACACTCCCTTTGTTTACAAATTATGATTAATACAAACCTATTAAAGGGTTAATCATTAAACAGTAGAAATTTCGCTTTAATATACCAGTATATCAGGACATAGTTCCTAGAGTACACCAAACAAAAATTAACAAATTAAAAAAGGATAATTTCACCCCTATCAATAGTACGGTTTTTTTTTATTTGCATTAAAATAAAGAGGAAAAGGAGGACTACAATTCCCATCTCCAACTTGGAAGCCTATGGTTAAGGACGCCCTCAGCATTAATGATATCATAAGATTTAGAAGTGATAAGAAAAGTTGAAACCATAATCACTTCTAACAATATTTATAGCTTCAATGAATGTGAAAACTCTACATAACTTGATTTTTAACATCTTAAGAATAACAAGAGACTGATCTACAAAATATGACAGAGGGCCAAGAAAATAAAGGCACTGCACCTTTCACAATTATATGGCATAATTTCACAATTTACATGATAGCATCGTCCACTTGATTTAAAACTTTTCACTTGTACTATGAGCATATGCTTTCTCAATACAAGTTCGAAAGAAATAAATTTTCAAGGAACCCGGTAGCCCCATACTAAATGCTCGTGTAGACAATAAACTATAAAGCAGATAAAATACTAAGGCATCTTAAGCACGCTTTGATAAGAGTAAATACATCAGAATTTAGGCAAATCAAACTGAAACTCTACAAATAATTAACGCAGAAGATCTGATGGCTGCACAGAAGGAACCACAATCCTCTGATAGTAATTTAAAAGCAGAAAAACTGATAAAATAGCATCATCTAAGCCATAAACAATTTAAAATAACATCGATGTGCCAGAGATCAAACTGCAAGGTTTAACTCAATTTTCAAATCCTGTCAGCAGTTCTTAAATGACTTTATTTCATTGTTTGCCAACAGATTGCACTGCAATACAGTCAAACATGATCATTATTAATTATATTATTTTAAGTAAAAATATCAATTTTTTTAAGAGGGAGCACCAAAAACAAGTACTATGATCTCTGTGAAAAAAATAATCTCCATCAAATCCTCCCCCATTAATTCTGCCTCTATTAATATTCCATTGAGTCCAACAGTCCATCAGTCTCGTCCATTTCAGTTAGATAATTGATCAGTGGAATTATGAGTGCAGCCTTTTCAATCTGCAGATAATATTCTATAGTTATTATGTTGACACCTCATCAATTTGAGTACTATTGTGATTATTTAATAATTATTAATTCCTGATTTTGCGTATTTCAAAACAAAAATTTTCCTAGGATTGTATGATATCATACAAATATATGAATGAAATAGGTAATTGCTTCTTTTTAAGTCTGGTCATGATATTAGAGCCTGCATTTTTTCTTAGCATTTGCATTGCCTAGAACATGCAAGCATTCATTGCTGCAAATCTCTTTTCGTTCTTCCTAATTTTCTTATTTATGGCTTTCATCAGTGCAGCCTTTTCTCTATTATTCTTCCTCTTTTCAACCAACTACTATTATGCTTTTTTTTCCCCCAAAGGATTATAAAAATAACCATATTCCTTTGATCTTAGTTTCATACGGAACAAATACCCAAAGTCCTATTCTCGTTGGAGAAATATAAGAAAATATATTTAGCATATCATTTGAATGAAAAGAATTCTCAACCAGTCACATCTGATTTGCATTTTCTTAAAAGAAGAAAATAAGGCCATTTACATATCAACAAGGCAATCACACATCCAATGCTCATGGTCATGGAACACCACGATTCTTGAAATATGTGACACCTATGTGTTCATTTAGCAAACAAAATTGATATATGTTAAATCAAATGTATTCTCAAGTTCATGATGCAGCTTAAACCTATGAGATCAAAAACAAGATCTCAGCAACAAATTAAGGAAGATGATCCCATCATAGAATATTCTAATCTACTACAAAGCCTAAGTTAAAAGATAGATCTTTCTACTAAAGGTCAAAAGGGGTGTATACATCTTCTCTACCTTTTCAATATGATTAACAATCAGATCAATGTTGAAATTAAAAGAGTAAAATTTACCAATGCTAAAAATTTGTTAAAAATTTTCAATCCACGCATTTCCAAATAAAAGTGAAAAGTATGAGTCTTGTTATACACACGCTTCTAAAAAATGGAGTGGTTGAATGAGCGAATAGCAACATACTTGCTACAACGAGAGCTCTTAATTTTTTTAAACAGGGAAGATGCTTTGACATCCACTCGCATAACAAGGCAAGTATCTACAAAGGAATCATACTCAAGTCCTAGCCAAATTCCTACCTCACTTTAACACAAAAAAATAAAATTATTTTCAGTTATTTAGAAGTATTGCCATTATGATGCGGGGCTTCAGGAGGGCTGAACTCGGCACCCGGGCTGCCTGTTCAGCAAGGGGTGCCAGTTAAAAAGAGCTCAACTAGCCGGCCCTAATTAGGGTTGAGAGGAGTGCCACCTCCTTTTCCAACCCCTCTCCTAGTTAACATAGGTTATTACAAATATGGTGTTATTTGGTTTTAGCGTGCAGTTTTGTTAAGATTTCTGTTTGGACAGCAACCAACATCCCTATTTTTCCTTCTAGGGTTGTATCTAACAAGAAGAAGGTGCTCCGACTGTAACTCATCCGAAGTGGTGTAGATCTTCCTCTATGCTCCTTGATTCCAACTTCCCCACACCCCCTCCCCTTTCCATATTTCCTAGCTGCATACCCACTTCCTGTTATTGTCGAGCCCCCATCCAGAACCCTCCATGCTTGCTTTAACTTCCTCCTATCCAGTTCCTTTCTCTTCAAACCCAGCTGCAAGCCCCACCTGCAAGATTCCCTGTCTTAACTTCCTCCTATCACCAAATTTAGGCGCAGTTTTGTTGAGATTTATGTTCGGACAGCTGCTAGCGCCCCCCTTTTCCCTTCTAGAATTGTATTTGATGGCGAAAACGTGACCCGACTGTAACTCGTACGAGGTGGTATGTATTTTCATCTATCCTCCTAGCTGCCATCTTCCCTAAACCCTCTCCCCTCTCCCAGTTTCCTAGCCGCAAAACCCACTTTCTGCTATTGTCGAACCCCCATCCAAAACCCTCCCTGACTTCCTCCTACTACCCAACTCCTTTATTGTCAAACCCAACCTCAAACCCACCTGCAAGATTCTCTACCGTAACTTCCTCCTACTCCCACCAATTTGATAAGTTGTAGATAAAATGTGATTTGGTTGAGTCAGTGGAACACACTATAGCCTATTATCTGGGAGGCGTGAAGCCCGCTATTATTAATGTGGTGCAACTATAGCTGCAACCTTATTGCTTATCTGGAAATGTCCAAACCTTAGCATTTAAAGTGGATAGACAGCAAAAATAGAGCAATCAACCACCACTAGTCAAACAGTCACTCACAGTTGGAGACACCAGTAGAAGCACGCCTTAGAAAGTTGAGAAAACTGGCTCAGATAAGGAGAGAGCCACCCCTAGTGAACAAGCCTGAGAAGTGTAGCACAACTACTACAACTCCCGTAAGAAAATGCTTCAGTGCCACGGATTTGAGCACATTGCCTCCAGCTGCTCAACGAGTCGAATTGTCTTTTACCTAGCAGGGCGCCGTGGAGGAGGGTGGCGACAAGGAGATAGCTGAGGAATAGAGAGAGGTGTATCATCTCTCACCGGATGAAGGTGAGACACTCTTGATTCCAGGGACTCGCATTGACTTCAATACAATATATTCTACACACGTTGCATAGTGAACGAGAATGTATGCAGTCTCATCATCGATTGAAGGAGTAGTAAGAATGTAGTGTCAACATAGAAGGTAGATAAATTGGGCCTAATGACTCAGAGCACTTCCAACCATATTATCTGAAGTGACTCAAGAAAGAAAACAACATTGACCGGAGGTGCTCAGTGGAGTTTTCGATTGGGAGCCAATTGCAAGATTAGATGTGGTGCAACGTGGTTCCCATGGATGTCTACTACCTTTTGTTGAGGAGACTGTGAGACTCATCGCAACAAATTTAGGAACACCTACCCATTCATCAAGGAGGGGAAGCGCATCATCCTACTTCCTTCAGCAAAGCCCAAGATTACAGGAGACCTTGCCAGTAGAGCAACATCGGTGGGACCAGTTTTGGTGACAACAGAGAATGATAAGATTAAGACACCAGCTCCAGACACGAGACAATCACGATAGAGAGCATTTTAGGATATCATGGTCGATATCTTACCATCATGGCCACCACCATTCGAGGAGGCTCAGGTTACCCTCGCTCCAGAGCAGGTTGAACTAACTGTAGATTACTTCGGGAGGATTTCAACAGTCTATGCAGGACACACAAATGAAGCTCTGTTCAGTAGTGGACCCTCAGGAGAGCGGATCAATATGGATATATGCTCGCAAATGGAGGAAAATTCTTAAGTGCTTTGGGAGTCATTGCAGTTGTCAGTAGGATCCATGTGCTTTTCGGACCGCTAAAGAAGATCCTTCAACCCGGGAAGTAAAAACAACTCCACCGACAACGAGAAGACAGAAGCTCTAGGAATGACATCGAAGCTCCCCTAACCCTTGAAGTTGATGCGGGGCCAGGAAGGTTGAACCAGGTCGTCGATTCAGCAAGGGGTGCCGTCTGGCAGGGAGATCAAACCGACCGACCCTAATTAGGGTTGGGAGGGTTGCTGCCTTCTACTCACCCACTCCCCACCCACCCTTTCTCTCATAGTTATCTTAGTTTATTACAAATATGTTGTTATTTGATTTTTGGGTGCAGTTTTGTGGGAATTTTTGTTTGGACAGCTGCCGATGTCCCCTTTTCCCCTTCTAGGATTGTATTCTATGATGAGAA